TCATAATTAATCTACGAATCTTAATTTAATAATAATAAGTACAAAAAATGTAGTTATGCCATGCAAACATTCATTCAATGTCCAAAAATATTGGACCACCGTACCCCAAATTGTTGTGGAAGGCACTGATAATAGAATGGTGTAATGGTGGTGGAGGTATCGTTGGCATGCCTTATGCATGCTTTGGCAATGACCCAACCGCAATTATGTACACCAAAGTTAACTTCATCTATCCTTTACCTGTCAACTCATCAAATTTTTATTTATTCAATCTTTTTCCTAGATCTAACCCTACCTCTATATCATTTAATTTTATTTTCCCATATATTTTTACTCATAATATAATTAAATTATATGCCTCTATAAGAAATGATTGAATGAGGGAAGAATGACAATTTTGCTAATAATTATACGTATATATGAATGCCTCTATATTTGTTATCTGCCATGCATGATTCTATGCATCTATATGTGAATAATGTAAATGTGTAATTATTATATGTTGTACGTAAAAGATTATTTCCAAGTAAAGTTGTGAGAAAGCTAAGAGAACGAAATTTATTCATGTATGACATAAATATCAGGATTTTGGAATGCTTATTAAGTGTTTTTTTTTTAAAAAAAATTATCAATTAGAAATTTGGAGGAGGGATTAGTTTTGGTTATGATTTTGTTTAGAGAATTTTGGTTGTGGATGTCATATGACTTCATTTTACTAAAATAATTATTCCATACTTTCTTATTGAAAAAGAAAAAGTAAATTCTTGTCATCATATTCTTTCTTATGAAAGATTGGGCATAACCCTAGTGATCTCTTTATAAGTTAAGTAAATTAATATGATCTTGTTTACACGCAGACGAAGTATAAAGAGCATAATTATAATTCATAATTATAATTCACATACAAACTCATTGAAAAAATTCCTATTTTTTTACGCAAGTGATTTTTAATTTGATGATTTGATATGTAGCCTGTGTTAGTGTCAACTGAAATCTAGTTTATATATTTATGTATAATCTCAAATAATATAGACCGAATGTATATGTGTAAGCAAGGGCGAAGCTACATGGGGGGCGGGTGGAGGCCCGGCTCCCCATGGCTGTGTGTAAGAGCTTTGTGAAATTATATTAGACAACGGATTAATATAGCTATTGTAAGATTTGTAACACTAAGCATACTCTGTATAAAACATCATTTTGAGAGCATTTATGTGTTTGGTTTCATAATTATTATTATATTGTTTAATTTTTTTAATTATATAGTTTATATTATAGCTCAAATAATAATAATTATATATATTATTCAAGTAAACCTAGTGCATCGTCCCATGCCACACGCTAGTTTATATCTACTCCGATACAACATTTTTTTGCATGTCCATCTACCGTCAATCCTTCTATTTCCTGAGAGTTACTAGTTTAATTAGCACATCTCAGTCACAATATTCCAACAATTCTATAGATTATCTGGTCAATTCACATTTTCTTAGAAAAGATTGAAAGTGGAAAGCATATTAAACGCGGGATTGGGCCGCACCCGCAAACTAAGAGAGAGAGTCCACTTCACAAGTCCAAGGAAGTTCCATCCCAAAATCATATGGCAATAGGAGGAGTAGCCCCTTAGCCTTATAAAGTGTTTAACTCTCTCTTTTTCAACCAATGTGGGACACTTACATGTGGTAACACTTGAAAGATTTATTCTTCAACAAAGCAAGATAAGCACTGCATGTCCTAGATCTCCCAATCAATTAAAGTTCAAAACGTACGTGTATTATATTCATTTCATATCTCAAAGAAATAACTTTATTAAAAGTTGGGAGTTTGATTGTAACAAATCATGCGTTACACAACACTAATTAATTAACGCATTATATGATTGGGAAGTTAAATCCAAAAAAGATTATAAAGTAATGACTTGGATGTACAAAAGAAGCTAAAAAATCATTTCGTTTTCATAAATAGTTACATACACATCAATTAACTTAGAATATAATCCTCCTTCTTTTTTTCTTCTTTCATCCGCCCACAAATGCAAGTTAGCTAAACAATGAGCATCATTTGACATTTTATGTCTTCTATTTGGCTTGATGTTCATTTTTGGTCCATACCTTTGGTTTGTTCCTCGAAAGAAATCGATATTCTATTATACAATTTATACCATTTATTTTGGAAAATATTATTTGCATATATTCCTTTCGTAAAATTAAGTGTCATATTATCTCAATCATGAATCATGAAGGTTTCAACATGGTTTTTCAGTACTCTTATAGTTGTCTCGTTCTTTTTTGAGAGTGAAGACGTGAGGCGTAGCCCAAGTGGTTATAGCTCTCATTCCGATTCCAAAATCTTTTGCATCGATTCTCATCAGTCACCACCCACCCTTGTAACTCTCTGAACACCAAAAAAAATAGTTGTCTTCTTTTTGTCCTCTAATTAATCACCACTTCATTTAAATGTAGGCCGGTATAATTATTTTTATTTTATCCATAGCTTGGACCTTAATCAATGACTCAAAATCTTTTTCAGAGTAGACACACATATATATATGAATGGACCATTTGCTGTTTTTATTGGTTGGATTGGATATGACTATATGAGTCCATATGACTCAAAGTGACCAAGTCGGATTAGGTGTGACTCAGTTCAGATTCATAACCATAGAATTGTAGATTCATAACCATAGAATTGAAGGTGAATAATTTCTTTATAAAATTGAGGATTAAGTTGTTTGCAAAAGTGACTACATAAAGGGAAGCGATATTGAGCAATCTCTTTATTTTCATATTTATTTGATCGCAAGTATTTAGGAAAATTAATAATTTCTTAAATATTGTACGAAACATGTCCAAACATCACTGTAACATACGCCAACTCTTAAGAATTGAAATAGATGTCCAAATTTTTAATACGCAAATGTAAATCATCAATTTATGTCTTTTAAATTGTCCATTCTTCTAAAAAAAAAATATTATGAATGCATTGCGTGCAGAAATATCTTGTACGAAGTACTCTGTAGTCTGTACTAACCTATTCCACTAGAAACCAATCATGAGCCTTTTTTTTAAAAAAAAATTAGGAAAACTAGGGGGGAAATTTGATAGAAAGAAAGGGCCCTAAGATGATATAACAGAGCTAGGCTCATAAGTAGAGCATGAGATGAAGCCCAATCACAATTCATGATTGATCATTGGGCTTTGCCCTAAGTTTGCATCACTAGACAGATATATGCTGCAATTCAAAAAAAAAACAAGCTTTTCTTGGGCTCTTCTGAAGTATGAGTGTATGACAGTATCCCTTTATTTCAATAATAATTAACTTTATGGTGAAATTTTGGTAGCCCATGGAGGCCCAATAAAACCCAGGTCCATCCTGAAAGTATGATACTTACTAGATGTGTGCTATACTTCACCATTAGAGTTAAGCATGGGCAAGAGTGGCATGAAATTGGTCCAACTTGACATGAGCATATTGTAGGAGCGTCCGAAAACAATAAGATCATGACAAGTCAATCACAACGTATTGTTTTGGATGTGCATAGGCCCCAATTATAGAAGATCGTCGTGCAAAAACTTAACACGATATTTTAAAGATATACACTTGCTAAAGATATGCAATGGTTAATAATTTTTATAATAGCATAAGTTTATTAATATGCTCCATACGTAGTATATATGTTCTTTTATTGGTGCAATGAAAAAAAAAGTTATTCTGTATTTTTTTTTTTTAATTCCTTTTTATGTCCATTGTACATAATGTTATTATACTTTAATGATATGTTCATTCATCTAGCGTTAAAAAATGACAATTTTAAATGCGCTTGCAAGAGTATCATGAGCATCATACTTAAATATCTAGGATCTAAAATAAGTGTTTCCGTCTAATTATATAAGTCATCTTGTTGCAGCCATATAAGTATAAAATTAAAACTATGCCATTTGTTTATTTTTTTTTAAAAAAATAAGTCATTTTCTATGTTCGAATCAATTTGATCATTGACGTCGTTATAATATTTGACTATTTTAAGATAAAATAATCTAACAAATTGATGAATGATGCAGCAACGAACTGCCAAACCAATCAATCAATCAATCCTAAGTAGATTAAGAACAAAGAGATAGATATGCTCAAATTCACCAACAAGAAACCAAAAAAATTAAAAATAATAATAAGGCATAGACTTTTAATTTGAGAGAAGAATCGAAATAATTTAAGGTCAAACATTGATGATAAGAATATGAAGTTATGAACCAACAACCTAGCACTGTACATGCTACCACGTACGGTACATGCATACATTATTACTTCTCAAACTCGTAGTCCCCCCTAGAAGGAAAGAAAAACACACCCGTAAAGAAAAAGATACATTATTTCACTTCGTATTTTTCCCATATATATATACTTTTTGAATAGTACTCCGTACTTCATAAGTACATATAAGTTTTTTTTCTTTTTCTTTTTTAATTATGTATTTGGCCTCATCATCGATCTGTGGGTCACGTGTGGCGTGTGAGAGGTAATTCATTTTAAGAGGGAGGATGAAAAGGTTTGATTAATTAGCATATGCTTAATGAATGACTTTTGTCATGAATTTATGAGACCTCACTTCCAATTGAATACATTGGCTTTTGACTAACAAATGATACTTTAAACAGTTAAACCTCTTATGAAATCAAGGGTAAAATTTAAGTTGTTCGACAAACTTTGACTTAACTTACAAAGTTACAATATACTGTACTAGTAGAGGGAAAATTTAAACCTTGGAACTTCATTAATTTGTTGCATGCCCATGAAATTTCATTTCCATTCCTTTTATACATGTGTGTTCTCGTTATTTAGAATTTGCATATCCATATAAACAACACTTTGATCTAAAATTTACTCATAGTTAGGAAACAAATTACCAAATAATATACATAGTACAAAGTAGCAAATGCAACATAATACTCCGTTCTCTTTTGGTGTTATAAGTATAAAGATATATGATGTATTAATTTGTACCATTTCACACAAGGAACAAATCAAAATCACATACAAATATATATGATTTACACCTCATAAATCTTGAACCAAAGAATTCAACAAAAGCAAAAGAAAGTGACACTAAAGTTGAACACCCACCTCACTTTGCTTTGCTTTCCTTTGTTTCCCACATGAGTATATCATTTTTCACTAGTAATCCCTACCAATCATAAAATGACATATTTATACAAAACTCGAGATCAATAATCACAAGGATCCTAGGATTGCATAGCAATGAATACTACTCGTAATCCCGACTACTGTATATTCATTAATCACAAAAAAAGTGTAACACTTAAAAAAAACAGGAGAGTATGAAAACTCGAGATCAGAAAATATCGAGGATCTCGAGAATTCGACGGTTGCAAAGGGGACAAGAACCTCGATTAAGCCATAACTCCCTAGAACACACCCTACAATACGTATGACCACATGGTATTAACGCAGCTCCTTTCTTCCTTTCCATGCACACGCAACACACCGTATCACTCCCTTCATTATTATTTCCCTCTCTTTCCCCACCCTTCGATCTTTCTCTCTCTAAACCTCGACCGTCCGTTGTCTCCTCCAATAATCTCATCAACGACACCCTCAACGGCGTCGTTCCACCATTATACGGCGTCGTTTCATCATTATTAATATCAACATTATTATTGTTAATATTGTTAATGTTATTATTTCGCACGGTCGCACCGTAACTTCCGGTGCTCTCGGCCGCACGGAATTCCCTCTCTGCGGCCAACGCAGCACCCAAATTCATCCCTCTTTCAGCGGGTCCCACTTGCTGACGTGTCTCAAACTCTTCTTGTACGACGCCGTTTTCTTCCTCTAGTGGAGAGGAATTATTATTATTCTCCTCGCACCGCCACGTGGCGACACCACAGCAACCGATGCCGTTAAATCCTAGCCGTTCCCTTAGAATCTTCCAACGGCTGTTATTACTTCCATCTTCTCGTCTCATGGTGCGATCTACACCGTCCATTTTCTCGACGGTGAGAAGATCAAGAAGAGTTCTGATTCTTCTTTGATCGGACGGTTGTTGTGAAGGTGGGTGTAGAAGTAATGGACGGTCTTGATTTGCCGGACTATGAGTTATTGCTGTACTCATCTTCACCTGATTGTATCTACAAATGAATGAGAAGTTGAAGAGAGGAAAATAAAATAAAGAGTGAAAAAACAAAGAAGGTTGTTTGTATTTATAGTTGTACAAGGTTTAATTTAATTTGAGAAAAGACGTGTCTACATGTTATACTCGTGAGAGAGAATTTAGTATTTGTAAAATAAAATAAAATAATTATCACGTACTTCGATGTAAAAATGGTTAAAGCAAATTCTTGTATAAGACGGTTAAAGAAATAAAAACCAAACGACACCTTATGTTTTGTTAAACTACTTGCCCTATTTACTCTCGTGCTTTAATATCGTGAATTTGTGATTGACTTAAAATGGTGGGAGTAATTTGAGTGATTGAGTCGCGTTAAATTAGGTCTGGTTGGGTCGAATTTGAATCATTGTAATTTGTAAATCATTATTTGCATATTAATATACTAATTGAAAACTAAGGGTATGTTCTGTTCAGTTTAGTTCAATTTAATTTCAGCTCCAATTAATTCAATTCAGTTTAACTCAGCTCCTAATTTCCTTCTCTTGTAAACAATTCATTTTACTTTTATTTATTTTATTTCAGTTCAGCTTCAATCAGATCATTTCAGATCAGTTCGGTAACTCAAAACATGCCCTAAAACAGATAATTTTCATTTTAAATTGAATATACTACCTTCGTTTCATATTATTTGCAACGATTAGATATTTTTTCTCTCTATTTTATGTCAAATCGTTGCAAATAATATGAAACGGGGGTAGTACTAGATTCAGGTTTATTTTTAACAACCCTAAACAAACTTATATTTTTATAAGTTAGAGGAGAATTACTCTAAAGTGGGACCCCAAAAGGGAGAGAAAGGAGAAGTCAAAAGAAGATGTGGGGAAGAAGGAATTGCCAACTGATGATAAATTATTGAGATTAGAGACATTGGACAGAGCAAAAAGACAAATTAGAAAGAAGAAAAAAGGATTACTAGACCCCAAAATTAAAGAAAATAGTGATGGAAAGTTGGAAAAGGTGTAGGCCATTGATGGTGGGATATTCGTACAAATTTCGCGCCAGAAATTCGTTTTCAATGCTTCTAACACATAGATCTAATTTGCCACTTTAGGGTTATTTTATGATACACCATTTATATTATGCTAATGATAGATTAATGATGTGCTATACGGCCTTGATTTAGTACTTTTGTCATTATAATGTTTGTCATGCTTTAGTTTTTCGGTATTTACATCTCTTCAACGGTTTTTAAACTACTATTATAAGATAAAATTAAACTAACAAAAAGTCCTTGGAATACCAGTTTACTTGTTCTTATATATTTCTCACAAGTCATAGTAACATAATTTTCCATAGTCTACTTTGAGAAAATAGAGGTTATCATTTTATTGTTAAACGACAAATAGATCAACAAGTTTTTCATTAATTATGAGTCCTACGAGGCTACAATTATTGATATAATTAAGAAATATCATACTGATTAGGCATTTTTGTTGATTTATTTACAGTTTGACCAAATACTTCATGCCTTTCTCGTCTATTTAAATCCTCACGAGTCATGACGATAAGTGTTGAGGGGGTGCTATTTCGCATTTGTATATGTGTGTAAAAGTGTTCGAGTGGATAAAAAAAGTCGAAATAAAAAATCAACTCCCCGCGCAAGTGATTTGATTGAAATCTTGTTTAATTTCAACAAATCTTTAAGGCCTATTTATAGTTGTCACTTGCTCACTGCTACAAGCAAAAATCATGTGTTACCTTATCACATTCAATTATGAAGAACCTTTGCATTTTTATCTGGTTTGGAAGCTTTGTTTTGTCTTATTTCACCTTTTACCAGATGCTTATGTTCTTTCGATGATTTACTCCATTTTTAAAGTTATCTTCAACCAATTATAGATTACTTTTGTTAAAACATTTAGCAAAAAATAAATAGCTAAATAAAAAAAACGTACATTGTATATAAAATGTTATTTAGGCATTATTTGGATACAATATTATCATATTAGTGGTGTTCAAGCTTTTGTCACCAAACATCCAAAGGAATTTTATAATTTAACCAACAAATAAATTAAACAAAAAGACTAGTTGGGCATATATTGACTTTTCATCATCACTTCTACTCCATAAATTCTAAATATTTTGACTTTTGCATTACTTAATACGATAATATCTATTTCTACTTCAAAATGTTATTTGCGCAACAGTTATATTATTGTATTCATTAATTTTAATCACTCAAATTTACATATTTGGTTAATATTATAAAGTGATATTTACTAGATAATCCGATATGTAAATACAAAAATCATCAAATTATAACCTAATTTAGTAAAAAAAAAAATGATAAATTTAGTCTATTAGAGTCCTTCAATTGGCTAATTATGTTTTTTTGTTATAATTTGACTATTTTGTTGAGGATTGATTAACAAATTGTTGAATTATAATCTTACAAATTATATAAAGATTCAGTGAATCGGATAGCTAGGCCACCAACTCTACTAAAAAAATTAATTAAAATAATGTGAGTCTTCTTTGATCACCTAAATATAAAGTAGCTCCAACCTATTGACGCAATGGTGATGAATCACGAGCCTTACTTGTTTCGGTGACTTTCTTGGTTGCAATTATTCAAATTTGTGATAGAGATTTGATTAATTATTTTTTATTGATTAATCACTAACCTATTGATGGAGTTGAATTTTTTAATTAAAGCTCATTAACTATTGCTAATTGATTTGACGTGTTAGCTAATTTATTCGTCAACATTTCCAAAAAATTTAGCATATTCATGAAATGTTAACCAATTTGAAATATTAAACAAAAACACGGACTATACGGAGTATTATTCAAACTAAACCTCGGTTAACTTGATCCACCTAAGGCTCGGAGCTTTTCAATTTAGGGTTAAGCACCTAACTTAAGGCTTAGAGCTTCTCAATTTAGAGTTATGCACCTAATTAGGCTAGAAAAATCTTATGTCAATACAACCTTGACTTGAATTGTCTTAGTCCACAACTTGACTTTAAGTTGGTTAATTATCAATTAACTAAGACTACATAAGATGAGTTTTGGCTTGATCTGATCAGACTCAAAGGCCCATAGTTAACCAGCCAACTCTAATCTTCTACGGAGTATGCCATAAAACATGACAACATTTAGAGATGGGCAAAGAGTCAAAGACTGGACCGACAAAAGGGTCAATTAGGCCCGACACAACATGAAATGCACATTGGTGGGTTATGAGTAATGCTTGAACATCATTTTTAAAATATAGCACGATCCGACATCAGCATGACGAGCCAATTGACATGTCGGCCCTTTATTTTTGACCAATGTACCAAAATAAGAGAAAAAGTTAAGAGGCTTATTGGCACGTCATGAGTTCATGACATGTGAGTCAGCCGGTGCAATACTTTTGTTCTATGAATGATCGTCTCAAGTCCTATCCAACATAATTACTCCGTATTTGTTAGCCATTTTAAATACGAGGTAAACTAACATGACATATGTTTGTGGCCACCTAATATCAAAAATAGAGGTAACAAATTAGTCGGTCAAGCTTGAAGGGTCATTTCTATCCTTCTAAACATACTAAATTCTTTGGGCCAAGAGGCCCCAGACAACATATATTGGACTTTCATTTACAGATTATGTTATCAGCAGTCTATTCATATTCTACTTTAAGGCCTTCTTATGTTATGTATACATACAAGGTAGGCCAATCACTTGAACATTCCAGGGGCCCAGCCCATAGCAAATTACGTGTTCTTTCTTCCGTTCACAATGGAACATTAAAAGAAAGAACCATCTAGACTCTAATACAGTTTTCATTAATTTATTTTTTTGCTAAATGTCACTTGCTAGATTGTATTAAAACCAAACAAAGCTTGATGACCCCTCATTTGTCAATCATAAAATATTTGTCCTGTTTTAATATAGCTCTAGGCCTCTAGCAATATGTTTTTTGTTTCTAATCCATCCCCAAGCTTAGCTTAGTAGTTATAATCAAGACGGCCATATAAATAGTTCTACTCAGTGTGATTAATATTTGTACGTACAAGTGAAATTCAAACACATTAATGATTATAGTTGTAGATTAAATTAGCAAGCTGGTTATATTATTACTCGACACTTAATTTAAAAAGGACCGAATATTAGGCCACAAAAATATTCAATTTCAATAATACTTCAATTTTTGTAAGTATAATTAAATTTCATATTTTTCATGTGTGATGTGTGGCTAAAATCAGTCCATTAAATTCTTAGCAATTATTTGGGTGGTGATAAATTTTTCAAATCACCAAACTTTCACACCAAAAATACGCACCACTATAAAATATCATCTCCTCACACAGTACCAGCTACCAAGTGCATTCCCGGCATTTCGCTAAAACAAAATCATCAATTCTTTGAATTTCCGACACTTTTTCCACACAAAACAAAATTTTCGACGCTATACTTCCCAGAATCTCGCTAATTTTTCGTCAGAAAAAAAATGTCGATAATTTCACAATTTTGCCAACTACCCATAAAATCCCACAAATTATCCTCACAAATCCAGCAATTTCCCCCCAAATCTCCTCTCTTTTCCTCAACCCCACTAAAATCAACAGGGGCAAAAAGGGAATTTACAAGCATCAAAATCAAAGCAACCTCATTAGACGATGAGTGGGGCCCAGAGAAGCAGAGCTTTAACAACAGCAGCAGCTCCGGCGGCGGAGTAGTGGCGGTTGCGGAGGAGGAGACGGCAGTTGAAGCGGAGGAGATTTATAAGCTGAAAAAGCGGTTAGTGGATTCGTTTTATGGAACTGATAGAGGATTGAGAGCAAGTAGTGAAACTAGGGCTGAAATTGTGGAGTTGATTACGCAATTAGAAGCTAAGAATCCAACTCCTGCTCCTACTGATGCTCTTCCTCTTCTTAATGGCAAGTGGATTTTAGCGTGAGTTTCTTTCTTCTTTTCACTCTCTCTAATTCTTTATTTTGATTGCTTTTAAGTTTACGGGTTTAATGATGTTGACGGGATTTGTCTCGGGTATTAGGCAAAAGCTTAAAACCCCGGAAATATGATGTAGACGGGATTTGTCTCGGGTATTAGTAAAAACTTAAAACCCTAGAAATTTTAACTGACTAAGCTAGTTGAGAAATCCATATATATGCTATTCTTTGTGTTTTAGTATTAAGATTTTGTGATGGTATTTTTTAGGTGGATTTTATAATTGATCATTTCAAGTGTATATATTATTTGGTTTTATTGTGGAATTGCTATTTGATGTATTCCCTGTGTGTGTATATCAAGGTTTTTGAAGATTATATGGGAATTTTACTTGGAAATGAATGAGGATATGCAACTACTTATGTGAAAGATCTTTTATAAGAGCTTGATGATTTACACACTCTTAAGTCTCTACATAAGTGAATATTATCTTATAATTTGATTATGAATTGATAATATTTTGAGGTTGGGAAAACTATATGTGAAGAAAGATTTAATTTTGTTGGCAAGAAGTATAATAAAAGCTTGCTTAATTCAATCTAAATTGTCAATTGATTGTGAGTATATACTTATGTAATCTTGCACCCGGGAAGTTGCTGGTTGATCTCAGTGATTGACTAAAGTTAATCAATCAAGTGGCATTTCGTGATAGAGTTGAAACTTCGGTTCAATTGGAATGATTGAACATACAATCTACATGCATATACATTTGTAAATAATGAATATACAATCTACATGCACCCGGGAAGTTGCTGGTTGATCTCAGTGATTGACTAAGTTAATTAATCAAGTGGCATTTGGTAGTAGAGTTGAAAATAATGGATATACAGTTGCAAATTCTTGATTGATTTTGAATATCAGTTAAGGAGATTGACTGGATGCTGTTCCTGGTACTTCATTCTGTTTGCTTAATTAACTCTTGAGTCCAATGAAAATATGTGAGAATAATGCTTGTATTACTAAGTTTGTTGTTCAGTACTCTCAAGGTGAGCCGCAGACCATTGCATGTCAATAATTTGAAGACCATTCTGTATGTTCCTGTTAAAATCTTTTATAATTTTGTAAACTTTTATAGTTTCTGTTATGTGGTGCAGACAACTATGTCTAGAATGAATCTTCATCTCTTGCTCGGTTTGCAATCTGTCTCTGGAATTACTGATAGTAAATTGCATTTTGATTAGTGTAACAACAACAACAAAGCCTTAATCCCATAATGGTTTGGTGCCGGCTAACATGAATCGTCATAATGGAATAATTTATCCTGTATCTTTCATTTTGCAGGTACACATCGTTTTCTGGTTTGTTCCCATTGCTTTCCCAAGGAAGATTACCACTGGTCAAAGTGGACGAAATCTCACAGACTATTGATTCTGAGAATTTCACTGTCCAGAACTCTGTGCAATTTTCGGGTCCTCTGGCCACCACTTCTCTTAGTACCAATGCGAAGTTTGAAGTCCGCAGCCCCAAGCGTGTTCAGGTATCTTTTAGATGCTTCTTCTGGCTCTTTGAGAGGCATATAACTTGGTCAAACATAGATGCACCATTTTGATGATGGACTTGGTTGTTTTGAAAAATTCCTTACTTTTAGCCTAAATTTAAGCTTCAAGAGTTCATATTTAATTATTCATGCCTAAGTGTTAGTGTGAGTAGTATCTGACAGAGTTACATGAGAACACTTGAAGAGGTTGATGAATTTGGGATATAACTGCTGATTGAGAAATTTTTAATAGCTTAATCTGTGGTAGACATTGTGTTTGGGACTCGGTGGTGGAAGATGCACTGATGGATTTGGAATCTAGATCATGTACTTGGTAAAGCTATTACTTCACAGATCTTGCCTGATTCCCTTCCAAGTATACCTAGTAAAGTGTCCTAGTTCCACTAATATTCACCATTCCTAGGCTTGTTTGCCCAATAATTACAGATTTATATTGATCGTTCACTCTTAATTTACAAGCTTTGTGGTGAAGTCTTGTTTCGTAGACCGTAAGTTGTGGTAATAAGTAATATGTAATTTTGAAAGGATAAATCTCTTATCAATGTCCATGGCAATGCTTGTCTGCTTCTTTCATTAATACTCAATGGATCAATCGACTCATTACCACCTCTAGAAGTGAATAAAAATTTATAATGAAGAACAAGTTCGGAATAGAACTGATCTCACAAAGTTAGATTCAACTTTACCATTTGATACTCAATTATTCCGGAATCCTATTGACCTATTGCACTCCTTTATTTCTGTATTTGATTTGATTTTATTTATTTGTTTTTTTTTTTTTTTTTTTTTTTTTTTCATATTATAAATTGCTTAGATCTAAATGTTCCATCATCCCTTGCAGATCAAATTATTGAAGGAGTCATTGGCACTCCCCAGATAACAGACAGTGTAGTTTTACCTGAGAATGTAGAGTTTCTGGGGCAAAACATTGATCTCACACCTTTGAAGGGCCTGTTTAACTCAGTACAGGACACCGCTTCATCAGTTGCTAGGACAATTTCCAGCCAACCACCGTTAAAGTTCAACATAGGTCAAAATGAAGGCTCGTGGTTGCTTACCACCTACCTTGATCAAGAGCTTCGAATCTCAAGGGGTGATGCAGGCAGTGTGTTTGTTTTCATTAAGGAAGGCAGTCTTCTCTTGTCTCCCTAAATGAAGCTTAATACCCCTTAATTAGTATATACTGCAATCTAGATGGGGGTTTAATACTATGATGTCACAATAAAACCACCAGTTATTGGTGCTAATACTCGTAATTTACAGAATGGTAAGAAAGGTGTATTGCCACTTGTATATTGTAGTTCACATACTATATCAAAAAGATGATGTAATATCATAATATGCTTTCAGTGATGATATACAGTAAAATCCAAGAATATTACAAGTTATACCTGTTTCTAACGTTAAGAATCAACTGTCACACTCATATAATTGCTGCTAGTAATGTGGCAGCTAAATTTAGGACGGAGAGAGCAACTTCCATGTTATACTAAACTCTACAGGTTAGTATTGCTCTGTATTTGTAAGTCTTACGTTTCCATTTCAAGATTTGTATATTTTCCTGTGGATCTGTAAATCAAAAGTATTGATTGTCTTATATAGTATGACTTAATGTCCAAGGAGAGTAATAAACATCAATCCTGAGTAGAGTTCTATCTGATCTTAGATACGATGCTTCATCATATACATGGCTGAATGGTGCCAGTGGTACGACGAATGCTAGCTGGCCACTTGCATGAGTTACATCATTCATGGAGTCTTAAGCATTTTTAAGGCTCTTTTGATTGCACTAAAACAGTCTAGCAACTTTAAGTTTGACAACTTTTATTATAATATTTTTTGAACTTCTCAGTATGACTGCTAGAAAATATGAAGTCTACTGCTTATGAGCTAGATACTCCTAGTATATGAATGAAAATCCTCCTATTTTAACTTTGAATCATTTTAGTACTTCTGAATCAGTTTAGTTAAATACTACTACTGTTATGAATAGACATTAATACTATAGACTATACAAAATTTGCTTTTACTCCTTCATTCAGGATAAATAGTGATATATGCAGGAAGTTTTACCTAATTACCTTTTATGTTTGCATGGACTACTCCACCCTTCTTCCATTGCAGGTAATACTACTCCAAATTCCACTACATGATTGATAATGTTAAAGACTATAACAGTATTGTATGCAGGTAACATGAAGTACTGATTTTCATTAAAAATCGCGCAAGAATTTGTTTACTCATGCTGTAATTCAATTCGCATGAGGGATTCACATCTTTAAGGTGCCAACATGAAAGGTATTATTGTCTACAATATGATTTCATTAGTGGCATTTACAGCAAAAGAAAATATCAGTACAAACCTGGTGGAAGGCTTCTAGTATAATCCCTCTATACTCGACAGAGTTCATCGTAATGTAGCACTTCAATAGATACCGGAGATCATTAGGCTCTTTTATACGGTTTGCTAGTATAACTTCCACCATTGAGCGCCTAAAATCTTCCATTGGATCATGAGATGATTTCTCCATAGCAAGCATCAGAAGCAACTTTCTGTTGCTGCTGCTGCTACTGCTACTGCTATTGCTAGTTGTTACATTTTTTACTACCTTTTTTTGCTTCCTTTTTCTTGCCTCCATTAAGCTTCTTGCTTTTTCTTCCTCGTTTTCCTTAATCATTTGATCTAATCTCTCTTGAACCATGTGATGCGCGAGGCTTGAGATTGATGGGTACCTGTCTGACGATCCAGAGCTTTCGTCACCTTCTGTTGATGTTCTGCAGTTAGTACAGCATAAAGCCCTGCAACCTCCTGTACCCTTAAACTTGTTGCTCCTCCTACCTTGCATTTTATTGTGAGACAACACTCTTATGTTTCTAAGTAGAGTATGATGTTAATTACATAATTAGTGACTTAATTAGCAATATATGGCAAGTGGGGTCTGGCTAATTATGATTATGTTCTGAATTCTGATTCTCAGGATATTGAAGAGTATCAGGAGGGCATACAGGAAACATTGAATATTTTTATTTGCATGACTATATTATTGCACATTTGGGTATTATTTAATGATGTGATTATGATGTCTTGTTCACCTTTTAATGTGATTATCTGAACCTTTGTACCTTTACATTAGTTGGCACTTTGCTGGAAAAAAATGATCTATTGCTACTAGAACAGGGGACCCTGTTTTAGTTTTCATCTTAGTAGGCTTGTAATGCTGAATATGATGGTTAAAGGTTAGGTTTGATTTACTTTACATGTCAATTTGCCATGCTTCTTTAGTTTAATCTTGTTTTAGGTGATTGAATGTAGGTGCTTGTGTATGTACTTATCATGACTGGTACATTGTATTGTGTGCTCGTTATGATAGATGACCAATATAGAATTGCTAGTCGTTAAAGGGTTCACTACAAAATAAAATCTCTAATGATTTATTCTCAACTTATTTTCTTTCTTTCTATCAAACTTACTTTTCCTAAACAACTAACATAACGATGATGAAGGCTAATTTTGGGTCAAGACTTTCTCATTTTGAGACACTTCGACATATTAAGTGTGTTCATTGTCCATACGTGAGTAATCTTCTATGCTTATTCGAGTAAACTAAACCTAGGTGTCATATGATAGTAATAATTAGCATTCGCGGTTTAATTATTCCTTAATGAAGAATTGATGATGAACCACCAACTTTGGATCAAATAGTAATCTCCCATGCTCTATCTAATATCTATTATTGGCTTACCTACAAAACTTTGGTAGGTCATCAAATAGAGCACAATGTATGCAAAAGGGTGGGGGAGAGAGTGGTAGGATAGGCTTAAGAGGTTGCAGATTCATTGAAACAAGGCTTTTGCTTCTTGTTTTAGGAAACTTGAAACTCATCACATGCATATAAAGCACTTGATATATATTAGCAACAAGTCCTGTCAATAATTATCTAACTTTATCATAATCAGGATGGATTCAGGTATTGATAAAAAAACCAAAAATGAAATAAAAAGGATAAATAATCAATTTTTCTTAGTATAAGCACCTGAAATTTTGAAGGCCAGGAGTAGGTGCAGATTCAATGAAACAGGACTTCCTTATTTGATTAATTTGTTGAAACATAATCTAAGCAAAACTTTTTCTTAGAATTAACCTATATATGATAGTGTTCTCTTTGCTTGAATTTCACTTATTTTACCCAAGTTTATTAGCATTGAACTTATAATTGAAATTTATTAGTTAAACACTTGTTTTATTTGGACTCGGATTCATCTTACTTGAACTTATTGGCTATGAACTAAACTCTGAACTCATATAACGGAATGTTTGAACTTATTACTCGTATTTGACATGCAATAAACTCTTAACTTATTAGCACTGAACAACTTATGTTATCTGTATTCATTAGACCTAAAATAAGTGAACATAACCTAAGCTAATACTTAAGCCTTAATTACCCAAAAATTAAATCATTGCAAGTAGCAAGATGAAACTAATTATGAGAAATCTGACAAAAGAAGAAAAAACAGCTTGTAAATATATGTGCTTAGTGTTCTGTACAGCAAAAAAAGAGTAGTGGATAATAAAGCCTTAATTTTTTTTGGGTTAAATATGTATAGTAGTTAAACTAGTTATAGACTTAGACTTCAGTCTATTGCAGAAGAAGAAGAAGAAGAAATTCATGCAATAACAAAGTACTTAGCATGTGATGTAATTAGTAAAGCCCTGATATCCCTCCTTTTTTGTTTGATTTGGTTCCCTAATTGAACATCATCTTTCCATAATTATTAACAATATTATCATAATCATCACCATCAGTGTAAGGTAGAGAGTCCTTCATTAGGTACTCTACCTTCAATCTTTATTGGTTGATAGGATAAACCACGTTTACACGTCGCACATATATATGTAATACTTTAAAGATTATTTATTATTTATTCCTTAGTTCAGAAGCCTAGTGAAATATGTATGTCACGTAGTTTAGTTATACAGTTTTGAAAATGTGTAGCACATACATTATTGGCAGGATTACCCAAAATATAATCGTAATAAAGAATCATTTAAGTTGGGGGATTATATCCCAATTTTACAATTTCAACAATCCCCAAAATATATACAGCTAGTAATTTAACATGTTCATCAACATCCCATATAGATTAATTTCACTAGATTAAATTAAAGGTTTAGTAGAATGGACGACAAGATTAGTAGTATAAGAGTCCAACCATTGATCCGCTTCAATGTATGTCATGGTAAGAAAAGGAGCTACTATAGTTTCATTAAGCTTTTGCTCGTAAGACACCCTTGCACTCAAACTCGCGCCTGGTCCCGAACACATATATTCCCCATAGAACACCGTCCTGCAACAAAACATTTTTCCATTATATTGGTACCTGGTGTTAGCGCCTGTTCTCTTCAACTTAATTTCAATTCAGCTCCAATCAATTCAATTCAGTTCCTAATTTCCTTTTCTAATAAACAATTCATTTTAGTTCAGTTTAGTAAAGTAGAAGAGAACCTTAGTGTAATATTAAACTTGTTACAGTACGTACGTAGGTAGTTGTTTTCAAAAGTAGCTAACAATTAAGTTGTTCTCACGGGAAAATCATACGAGTATTATATAAGCGAAAGAGATTGTTAATTTAAACAATTTCTTACTCGTCGTTGTTGGGGTTGTTAAAGTCATTCCAACCCTCAGGAGCAATAATATCGGACATGGAGGTGTAAGCAAAAAGTACACGTGAAAATGAGCGCCATGCACGTCCAAGCCAAATTCTTCCGGTGCCTCCAATGCTACAATTGTAGAATACAAACCCTGAATTTTCATCTTGGGAAGATCTTCCACTTGCTGTTACTACTCCGTTTATGTTTTTTTGGCCTGCTGGAACCGGGCTTGCTATGGAGATCATTGCACAATTCTGAATAAATCAATAATTTTGAACGCAAATCATTAGATACATTCTATGTGTAAATTAGACATCTGTGAGTCGGTGCTCATATATATTAGGAAAATAACTACAGAATTTAATTTACATATTACATCCGATGGCCAAAATAATTTTGACCGCGATTTTTGACTTGTATAAATGAAAAAAATAAATAAATAAAATTAGCATGGGGATCTTATTAGATTGGCTATGTGTAAATTTATATAATATCAACTTTTTATTATTTTCACTTATACATAGTTGAAGATATTAATGGTCAAAGATGAATGTTGAAAACTGTGCAAATATCGAACTTTTAGGAACTAACATAGGGAGTATTTTTTCTTAGTGTGCATGCACATCAAGTTGTAGTTGGTGCCTTTAAGCGATAAGGTGGGATTGAGTAAGTTGAAAGAGAATTATTAGGAAAAATAGTAGGTAGTGTTAGTAATAATACTATAATAGGTATGTAGGATGATTATTAG